TACTATAAGATTATAATATATGCTACTACTTATAGAAAGTATTTTTAAGAAAATTATTCAGAGACTTTATTTTAATTAAGTGATACAAATAAGAAGTATGTTATCTATTTACTACTAATACAATTTTAAAAGCAAGCCATACTTTAAAGAGAAATACAAAGTTTCTTTAAACTTATATATTTGAAAAAATCTACTTCTATCATACTTCAAATCCAAATAATGCTCTGTAATAATATAATTTTATTCAGTCTTTCAGAAATCTAATAAATTCAATATATGTAATGGCAATAAAAATAAAAAATGTAGGATTTTTAAACTTATAGAAAACTAAGAATATAAGTCTCTAAAGGTTTAACATCTAGGTAAATAATGTAATAGGTATTGACTATAAATTATTTTGTTTATATTATAAAATTTGTATATTAATGGAATTTAAAGCTAGACTGAGTTTTCTCTTAGTATTATTATTCTTTTAATTTAAGCCATCTTTTTTTTAAAAAGATTCTACCACCTTATCTAATTACTTACTTTACTTTACAATATATACAAAATAACTCTGGTATATTTGAATTATTATTATAATCATCAACTCCGTAATCAGAGTTCTACCAAATTAAATATAACTATTATGGCAGCCAATAATATACACTTCAACAATTTGATCATATATATGTTGTAACAGCTAAATCTCGAAGCTTGTACAGCGGTGACAAGAAAGTAACCAGACACTAGTGAAAATTTTAATTCAGTACAGGTTCATAGATGTCTTCCATATGGAGTAAAATACTAATTTGTACCTAATACCTTGTTCTTGCACCTTTCTTTTCAATCAATGTCCTAATTCTCTGAGACATGCCATCTATCATCTTATAGACCTTATCACAATCCAATTGCTCCCACTCCACACTTGCAATTTCCATTACCTCCTCTCGAGTCTTCGGCTTCATCTCCCGGAACCTCCTCTTAAGTTGCAATTTTAATATATGCCAAACATTTTCTATAGAGTTCATATCAGGTGATTTTGGTGGCCAATTCAATTGTGCGATACTGTTTGACCAATAAAAGTTTGTTGTTAAAACTGACCGATGAACTCCAAAATTATCCTCAGCAATCTGGTATTCCTGACCAGAATATGGTAGGCTTCGAAGAAAGGGAAGAAGATGTGGCTCTAGTACTTCTTGAACAAACTGCAGACTATTTAGTCCTAAAGCATCGTGGGAAGAGGTTTGTTCACTAGGGGTTCGACGTTGAATATAAATCAGTAGTGTGTGATACCCAAACGTAATTGCCGGATAGAGTCCTGTAGAAAACCAATTGGACTGCTGTTGCTTATCTTGGTACCGTTCCTGATCTCCAGTTCCACACTGTCATCGAATCCGCTAAGGTCCTCCTTGTTGACCACTACTTGAATAAGTAGTCTCATTACAGAAAACACACTTTCTCCACTTACTCACTGCCCAGTCTCGTTTCTCCTACGCCCATATCAACCGTTTTGTTTGATGTGATGGAAGGATTGCTTCTTGCTTTCAAGCAATGAAGCTGCGATATCCTTGAGCAAGTGCCTCATTGGCAATTAAGCGTCCACTAACATGCAGACCGGATTCCCAAGTAATTTCAGCGATTGTAGTATCTGGATTACTCTCGATAAGGGTAGTGATTCGGTCTTTATCACTGATGCTAAGCTTTGGTGGCCGTCTGGAGCGTGGAACATCCTTGACGTTGTTGTCTTTCTCCCAAACCTTCACAAGACTCTGAATTGCGCTCTTTCCATATCTAGTTTCTTTCTGAATCTGGTGATAGGAATAGCCTTTCAGATGCAGCTCGATTGCTTGAAAACACTCTTCTTCTGTGGCTTCTCGTCATTTTCAGCTTGTTCCAGTCGGCATCATCAGTAGTTGTAAAGTATCATGTGTCATAGTACCAGTTGAATCTCATTGCAACCACACTATATTCCTACCCAGCGACACTAGTTGCCACCGTAAGCCTAATTCCAACATTGTCTGGTTACTTTCTTGTCGCCGCTGTACATTACAAACTTCTGTTTAGTAGTATAGGTCCTAGAACAAAACAAGTCCAAATTTTTAAAAACTCATCTTTTTCACTGGAGGTAGTGATCCCTAGGTTAAGGATATTAACTCAACATCCGGGTCACTTATGACTCTCTAACCTCCCAATTGACAAATCTCCTATCGAACGAGGAATTCTGTCCCCCAAGCCGGCAGGCACTCCTCCGGTTCTCCGTTTATTATTCTGCGCACGGTATACATCATACCTTACTATAGCCCTCCTCCTCCGGCAGTCGGGGAAGAGGTAAAGTCAAGTAAACGAACGCCTCCGCCAACTGCTTTTCCTACCCCGGCTCGCTTTGCTGAATGCACTCCATACTCGAGCACTGACTGAACAGCGCTGCAGTTTACTATCCCTTATCATGGAAATAGCAACAATTGGACCTCGCGCCAGGACGCTCGACCTGCCCATCCTAGTAAACTCTGTTATATCTTTATATTTGTCGAGGCAGAGAGATGGGCTGAGAGTGCCGTAGTCTCTTTCTCTCCTGATTTCCCCCCCTTAATCCAAAGCGGAGTGGGAGAAGGAGGGGTGGAGGGGGGGGGGGGAAGGAAGTTCTAGACCTCGTATGCGAGCTTCAATCATTCTCGTTCCGATGCCGGTACAGTACAGTACAGTACACTACCATTACCCTCCCACCCCAATCACGCGAAATTCCTCTCTCTTTCCCTCTCGCAATTTGATAGGACGCTCCTTCATGATAAGTGACTAGACGAACCGGGGGGAGCGGGGGTGGGGGGTTGTTAAACTGTCAAATCATAGTGCTTACCCTTCCTCGCATGACCCTTACCAAATTAAATCATTCTAGCTGTATACCTCCGATGGTACAGTACGGTGTTCAACGCCTTTGATTTCCGGAATCCATGTGCGTCACATTGTTTACCCCACCCACCCATATACTAGTACAACGCACCAGACAACCGCAAAAAAAACTCGTATCATACAATTCACTATCGGATGAGCCACAGGGCTAAACCACAATGGGGTCCGGCTTGTTCAGCTCGCTCCGACTGTAATTGTTACATATGATACAAGGTAAGGTGAA